CGGGCCGGATCCGGCCCGTTTGGAATGAATAAAACTAAAAAAAAAAAAACCGAACCCTTTTATTTAATGATGTTTACTTTGAATTTATATTAGTTCACACAAACACTCCATCCATGCTTTTGTTCCGGCCCTCCGGTCCAGTTTAAGAACCCATTGTGGCCCTCGAGTCAAAAAGTTTGCCCACCCCTGATCTAAACCCACTTTTCTGTTTCACTGGTTCCCAAACCTGTGTCCCCAGTGCACCTGTCCTGGAATGACATTTTTATGGACCTCAGCCAGGGCTACCAGTGAGCCATTCCCCACCTCAGACCTGCCCCTCTTCTATTTTCCTCAACTCGGGGAAGGAAAAAAGTATATATTTTAAAAATCCACTGGCACACAGAGAACAGGCTGATGGTTGCCAGAGGGGAGGGGAATGGGAGGTGGGTGAAAAGGGGAGGGATTAAGAAGTGCAGATTGGTAGTTCCAGGCCCTGACTGGGTGGCTCCACTGGTTAGAGCATTGTCCCCACAGGCCAAGGTTTCCCTCCCATCGGTCAGAAGCAACAAATTAATGCATAAATAATGAAACAACACACTGATGTTTCTATCTCTCCCTCTCTCTAAAATCAGTAATAACGAAAATTCAAATTGGTAGTTACAAAACAGTCCGGGATGTAAAGTACAGCATAGGGAATACAGTCAGTACTATTGTAATGACCATGCATGGTGTCAGGTGGCTACTGGAAATATCTGGGGAAGACTGTAAAGTATATGATTGTCTAACCACTATGCCGTCCGCCTGAAATTAATAGAAAACCATATGGACTGTAAACTGTAATTTAAAAACAAATCCAATGGCTCCGTCCACTTTATTCCCGATCCCTCTCCCCACTTGTCTCCATTTCTGCTGCTACCAGCCCCCCAGCCCTCACCCGGACACTGGCTGCCGGGGCCTCTCTGGCTGCCCTTCACTCTTGCCCCCACAGCTTACACATCTCGCTGCGGTCAGGGTGTGTGCTTATGCATACAACAAATAAAGCTTTTACTTACAACAGTTGAGATGTAGAAAAACTTGCAAAGGTACTTGTACAGAGAATTCCCCTATACCAAACGCAGTCTCCCCCGGGAAATGATACCTCACAATTTCCTTACACATCTCGCTGCGGTCAGGGTGTGTGCTTATGCATACAACAAATAAAGCTTTTACTTACAACAGTTGAGATGTAGAAAAACTTGCAAAGGTACTTGTACAGAGAATTCCCCTATACCCAACGCAGTGTCCCCCGGGAAATGTTACATCTCAATTTCTATGGTGCATTTGTCACAACGAATGGGCCGGTATTGATACCTTCTTAACTCAACAGCACGATTTATTCAGATTTCATTCGTTTCCCAGGTCCCTTTCCTCTCCAGGACCCCATCCAGGACCCCAAGGGCACGGAGTCATGGCAACGCCTCGGGCCCTCTGGGCTGTGCAGTTCTCAGGCGGCCCCGTTGTTGATGGCCTTGCCGGTCGGGCATTCTGTAGGCTGCCCTTCAATTGGGTCTGTCTGATGTTTTTCTCATGGCGACACGGGGCCGTGGGTTTGGGGAGAAGACCCCCGAGGAGAAGAGCCTCCCACCCCATCCAGGGTACACAGAGCCCAGTGAGTGTCCATGGGAACCTTGGTGGCCTGGCTGAGGTGGTGCTGGTCAGCTTTCCCACCGTCCAGTTCCCTCCCCTCCCCCTGCACACTGTCCTGGGGAAGCCAGTCACTGAGGGCTGCCCACACCAGGGATGGGAGTGACGCCACACCTCCGTGAGGGCTCTTCTGTGAAAAGCTAACTCAGACCCTGCCGCCCTCCACTGCTGTGCAATTCAAGAAGCTCCCTAAAAGCTCCACCCCTTCCGCTGGCTCACCCTGACTCCGAATGCCGCTGCCTGCCTCTCTCAGCTCCTCTCCCTCCGACCTCCCCCTGACCCCTCTGCTCCAGCCCTGCGGCCCCTTGATGTAGTCACACAGGATCCGGGGCCACCTTCGGCTTTCTATGCCCACTGCCTGGGATACAGGAGGCTCCACCCCTAAACACCTGGTGGATGGATGAAGGCCTGAATCCTCCTTCCACAGGCGAGCGAACGAAGGCCTGGAGGGTAAGTAACCTGCCAAGGTCCCAGTCAGAAAGCTGCAGAGCTAGGGTGCAACCGGACCCCTGACCAGAGCCCGGGAGGAGGTTCGCTGCCTGACCCCGGCCTTACCGTCCTCTGTTTCCACGTAGAGGCGGAGTCCCAGGTCCCTGCTACGGTTCAACAACCCGTGGTCACTGGCTGCTGTCACGTCCAGCACCAGCCAGCCCTCGTCCTCAGCTCGGAGCGTCTGAAGATCCAAAAAGAACAAGTCAGACTCCCTGTGGATACGAAAGAACAATTAACCGAAGCCGGCACAGCTGCCTTCGTGTTTCCTGTGCCCACCTGGGGACCACTGCTGGGGCGTCGGCCCTCCTGGCCCTGAGCTGGGCGCCTCACTGCCTCATCTCACCGCATCTGCCGTAGAAGGTGCTGCCGCCCCCGTGGACAGATGGGGAAACTGAGGCTGGGGAGCTCGGTGACCCGTCCAAGGTCCCACAGCCAGGACAGCAGGGAGGGGATAGAAGCCAGGGTGCCAGGGCCTCGGGCCAAGCATCTTCCTCTCGGAGGGTGTGCTCCCAGGAAGGCCCCGTCCGTCCCCCCAGGGCTGGGCCGACACACCCACAGAGTTTGACCGGGAGGCGGGGTGTGGGCAGGCACCTGTTGGCCCGCTCTCTGACCACCTCGAACATGCTGACGTGGAGGGTCCTGTTGAGCAGGTGGGTGCTGGGCAGCTTGTAAATCCGGAACTCGGCAGCTGTGACCGCCTCCCCCGCCGGGATCTGGGTCAGGTCAAAGCGGAACTCCTTCCAGGGGGGCTCCTGGTGGCCCAGGGAGCGGTCGAGCTCCACTGCAAGACAAAGAGGGCTGTTCGCTCCTGGCTCTGGGCTCGGGCTCCAGGGTGGCAGGGCCCGTGGGAACCAGGGGCCGGGACAGCCTGGGAGAGGCATGTCCTCCCTGGGGACGGGCTTGCCCACAGGCTCTGCCCCCAGTGCTGAGGGCCAGAGCCCGGTAGTGAGGTGCCCAGCACAGCACCTGACGCACAGTGGGGCCGACAAGGACAGCTTCCATTTCTGCCCCCAGCCTCCGACCCAGCAGGTCTGGCCCCGCCCCTCTGTCTCTGGGCCCACAGATGAGGCAGAGAGGACAGGCCCCTCCTCTGAGAGATGGACGTCACACCCAAGGAGAAGAGGCCGAGTGGCGGCAGGGACATGACTGAGTGCACTTCAGAGCCCACCAGGTGTGTGGATGGGACGTGGGACGGTGAGCGCTCACAGCTGACATTGGAGCTGGGCCTTGAGGGGTGACAGTGAATTTACCACGAGGTCACGGGACAAGAATGCTGCAGAGGAAGGGACCAGTGTGAGCAAAGGCCTGGAGCTGAGAGATGACAGCACAGACAGGGAGACAACAGCCATAAAACACAGCCAAGGGCGAAAGGGTGGCAGGGTCCTCTTGGAGCAGGTGAAGGAAGAGGGAGGGCCAGAGGGAGAGATGGAAAGGAACAAGAAGCAAGGTGGGAGTGACAGCTCCTGGGGAGGCCCAGTCAGTGCAGGGAGTCAGAGGTCCCATGGTGTGGTGGGATCTGGGTGGGCTTCCTGGAGGAGGTGACATCTGAACTGGCCTCAAAGGATGGGATGACGGAGTCTTGGCAGGTGGGGAGGTGGCAGGGAGGGCTTTCTAGGCAGAGGGGACATCAAATGCACAGGTTGAGTGGGCCAGGGCCACCCACAGATCAGAGGGGTGGGGTACGGGCTGTGAGTCTGGCGGTGGCCTAACTGGGGAGAGTTGGAGTTCCGGCCTAGGAGCACGGCTGTGCCTCTGGCCAGTGGGGGGCCAGGCTCCGGGGCAGCAGGGAGCAGGGTGTGGTGTGGGAGCTGTGCGTGGAGGTGGGGTGAAGCATGGGCTGGAGGGGGACCCGAGGTGGCTCCGTTGTGGGGCCTGGTCCAATACTTCGGGCAAGAGGCCGCTTGTGCAGAATTAATCCCACATGCCCAGCTGCCGGAAATGCCCAGGACAGTATATTTAGGGCCGTCTCACTTTAGCCTTCTGTCACTTTCAAACACTAAAAATCTGTGTTTCCGGAAAGCAGGGGCGGGAGCCGCCCAGCACCTTCCCCCAAACCCAACACTGAGATTTTAATGACACGTCTGAGAGTCTTTTTAAAGAGTCTCTCTCTGGCTACTGGGCTCAGTGACCACAAGTCACCAGGCTGGTGGCAGAGGCGGATGTGGGGAGCACGTCCTGTCCTCGTGGTGGGAACCTGGTCCAGGGAGGGCCGGGCAAACAGCTGTGCTGGGTGGGGCCAGCAGACACACATGTTTGGGCAGGAGATGAGTGTTTCATTCCCAGATCGGGGAGGAGAGGAAATAGAATGTCCATCACCAGACAGGAAGCTGGACACGCAGCAAATGCCCATGGGGAGCCAGGCTGTTTCAGAGACACCGGCGGCACCGGGGTCCTTCCGCACAGGCCGAGAGCGTGGAGGGCAGGGTCCTCGCAGACACACGCACTCGCACAACTTTGGTGACAATTCCCGCGGATTCAGGGACCACACAGACCGAGTCCATCACGGGGCCGTGTAAGAGTCCCGGGTCCGAGGGACGGAATAGGCCCAGGCTGTTGGCTGTCACAGGGTGTGGCACGGAGAGTGGAGGCGTGTCGTTCCTTCACACCCTTCAGCGGACGGACCCTCTCAAAGCATCGCTATGTGCATCTATCCCCAGGCACAGTGGGACTGACGGGTGGGTCACCGGGCCTCCGTCTGCAGGCCTGAGGCTGATTTCCATGTTGGATCCGGGGACTGAGGGAACCAGCGCACACCTGCCAGCTCCACGTGGGCACCGCGCCGTGCGGCCTCCTCCCCTTGCTGGGTCAAGAGCACCTTGTTCACTTTAACGGACTTTTGTTCCAAACTTCCGTCCTGCGTTTTGATAAACCAGCAGTAGCTCCAGCACAGGAAACGGCCCCCCTGGCTACTCCCAGCAAGCCCCGGAAGATGGGAAACTTTTAGGAAAAGAATGCGTTTTATCAGAAACAGATAAAACTTTCTGGGCTCTCGCATTAAACCAGACATTACTGTAACTGGCCAAAGGGCGTGCCCCCTCTCTTTGCTGGAACTCTGTGGATGTAGAGTTTTTCAGAGGTTGCTCCTCTGGGTTGGGGAAGATATTTCTCCTCAAAAGCTGAGTGAAGCCCTAACCGGTTTGGCTCAGTGGATAGAGCATCGGCCTGCGGACTGAAAGATCCCAGGTTCGATTCCAGTCAAGGGCATGTACCTTGGTTGCCGGCACATTCCCAGTGGGGGGGGGGCAGGAGGCAGCTGATCGATGTTTCTCTCTCATCGATGTTTCTAACTCTCTGTACCCCTCCCTTCCTCTCTGTAAAAATATCAATAAAATATGTTTAAAAAAAAAAAAAAGCTGAGTGAAGAACAGTATTTGATGGGACCTGGAGTTTCCCCTGTGGTGGTTCCTGGGCAGGCTGCCCTGCACTGCGAAGTGTAGATGCCTGGCCTGTAGCCGGAGCTTCTGGTCCCAGCCTCCCAGCACTTTCCCTGTGTGGGCTCAGTCTCCTCATCTGTGAGGTGGGGACACTGGGAGCCTTTCCATGCAGGGCTGTGAAGGGCTTTGTAAAGGGCAGGGATGGTGAGATAGGAGCCATGCTCTTCCCCAGGCGGCAGGGACGGGTGCTGGCCTGCAATTTCTGAACTTAATTGGTGCATCAAAGGGACAACATCCTGCCAGCACCATCAGGAGCTTCATGTGTGAGACTCAAGAGCCCCGGGGGAGAAAACGGAGCCATTCGATTTCCGTTTCTGAATAAAAGTATGAAAGAAAGATTATAGACCATCAGTGTATCCATTCAGCTGAGAGGCATTTGGATGGCTTCCAGGTGCCTCCTCTTCACCGGGCTGGCCTTCGTCAAGGCGTCTGATCCTCGGGGCCTCAGTACCCACATCTGAAAAAGGCCCACTGGACACCACGTCAGATGAAACTGTCAAAAGCCATGTTTGCTACTATAGCCGGCACTCGGTGATGGTCCAGCAAGTACTTCTAACACATTGTTCAAGAGTATTCCCTTTCCGGTATCTCTTCATGCGCAGCCTCCACCTTCCCCATCACCAGGGTCTGGAGTCTCCCAAAGATGCCCAGGCCTGGGGAGGTGGCCCCTCAGCAATGTCCTGGGGCCATCGCCCCAATTCTGGCTCAGGCACAAAGCAGAAACGGACCCTTTCTTCATGAAAGGGCTGAAGACCCTCAACATCAAGCTCAAAGGGCAGAGATCGCCACACACTCTGCTCCCACGTTTCCACACACGGAGAGGGAACCCAGACGTTCTCACCCCTGTGTGGGCTCCTTCCACTGCAGGGGACCGCCCCCACCCTTGTTGGACTTGGCCCGTGGCTGCTCCCCACCCTGCTGCTATTGCTTGATGATCCTCAGAGGGAATTTATGGGAAAAGCCAAGGTCTGTACAACGTGATTTCTCGGGCTTTCCCAGTATACAATTTTGCTGCTGGTTGTGGGGTTTCGAAGTTCATTCCAGGTCCCCTGGCAGGTTCAGATGGGCTGGGCAGGGGGCAGGGGGTGCTCCCTGCCTGGCCTCTGCTCTGGATCCCGGCCATCTGAGTATGTCCTGCCAGCAGTCCTCTCTCCGTGGTGGCACTGGTGGGGGACGGGAACCACTGTGTTTGGAGCTAGGTTTCTGGGCAGTAAATTATTTCCCCCATCTGCAAAATCTGGGGGGCACCTAATTTCCCCTCTGGGCACGTGTCAGATGACTTCTGACTATGCCGCCATCTCATGCACTGGAGGCTTTCTAAGAGCACTCGCTCTTTCCTGGTCACATCCAGGAATATTCATTCATTCATTCATTCATTCATTCATTCGACACGTTTAAAAGCAGTGCTTATTGAATGCGAGCCGCTAGGCCTGGGGAAACTGCAGACAAGCTGGACCAGCCGGCCGCCAGCGAGTGTGTAGTGCGGCGGGAAGTCAGGTAGCAAACACGAAAGTAAACAAACGTGGTCACTGTATGTGATGAGCGCTGTGAAGGATATGGGTGGCACTGGGGACAGTACGGGGGTGGGGGGGTGGAACTCACTTTATGTTGTAATAGTTTTAGATTATTTAGATTTAGAGAAAAGTTGTTGGAAGAATAGTACACAGACTTCCTATATGCTCTTTGCCCAGCTTCCCCTGATGATAACACCTTACATAAGCAAACCATAGTATACTTCCCAAAACCAGGAAATTGATATCGGTGCAATACCATGAACTAAATATTGACTTTTCTTGTATTTTACCAGTTTTCCCACTAATGTGCCTTTTCTGTTCCAGGAGCCAATTCAGGATCCCACAGCGCATTCAGTTGTTTTGTCCTCTGTAACAATTGCTGTCTTTCCTTGTCTCCCATGACCTTGGCCCTTTGGAGGAGCACTGGTCAGTCACTTTGTTGCATGTCCCTCCCTGTGAGTCTATCTGATGCTTTCTTATTAGATACGGTTGAAATTATGGATTTTGGAGAAGAATGCCACAGAAGTGATGTCTCCTTCCAAGTACATCAAATTGTAGAACAAAGTAAACAATATGTTCATGTATTGTAATGCAATGTAAAAATAAAATAGAAATACAAAATTTAAGATGTAAGTAAACCATCCTAGCAGGTTTGGCTCAGTGGATAGAGCGTCCGCCTGCGGACTGAAGAGTCCCGGGTTCGATTCCGATCAAGAGCACATGCCTGGGGTGCAGGTTCGCTCGATCCCCAGTAGGGGGCGTGCAGGAGGCAGCCGATCAATTATTCTTGATTTTCATCATTAATGTTTCTATCTCTCTCTCCCTCTCCCTTCCTCTCTGAAATCAATAAAAATATATTTTTAAAAAAGATATAAGTAAAACCTAAAATCCTAAATTTGAATTGGAAATATTAGTTTGAGGTCATGATTTTTTTCCTCATAGGAAACACATATTCCCTAGAAACCCTGGAAACGATGGCCACGCAGGGGCAGTGGGAGCCCTCATGCCCAGAGAGCAGTCGCAGGGACCCACTTCACCACATGGCATGGGGCTTTGGGAGAGCCGCCGATTTCCCACCCAGGGCAGGAAATGCATGAGCAGAGCCTGGGACATCTCACCAGAAAGCAAGAAGCTCTCAGAAACTCCTAGGAGAGGTAAACGCACTCAGAAGCCAACTTGACGGGGCTTCGTAATGGCCAAACAGGACAATTTGAGTATCGAAGAGAATAACACCCGCAGCAGTGTGACTAGCCATTGGTTCACCGCCCTCATCATTAAGCATTTTGCGTTGGACCCGATTTCTCACCCTTGGCACTGTCCACCTTTTGGGCCAGATCCCTGCTGTGGGACTGCCCTGAGTGCGGCGGAAGGTTAGCACCTTCCCCAGTGTCTGCCCACAGGTGCCTTCTCCTGCCGAGTTCTAACAAGCAAAATGTCTCTGGATAGTGCCAAACATCTGGGAGGCTGAGAACCTCTGCTAGGAATCAGTTCATCATCCCAAAACCTGGTAAACGAAGGGGGAAAGAGTCAAGTTTGGAGGAGGAAAGGGACCAGTCATGTAAAGAGGTGGAAGAGGCCCTGGCCGTGTGGCTCAGTTGGTGAGCATCATCCCATCCACCACAAAGGCCACTTGTTAAGCTCCCTATCTTCCAGGGGCCCCTTCCCCCGAAAGGCTCCTGGTCCCCAGGACAGTGGCTCAGGGCCCAGCACCCCAGCTGTGGGCGAGGGCACTGCTGCTGGTCTGGGAGAGGCTGCCTGTCACGGTGTCTCCATCAGAGGCCACACATGTGTTTCACTTTCCTGTGGGACTTGCCGGCCCCGAGGCAGAGGGCAGCTCAGGGTCCCGGAGGCGGACGGGCTGGGCCTGTCTGGCTGGCCCTATCGGTAACTGAGGCCGACGGGCCCACTTCAGACCTAAAACAGACCC